TGACGCAAATGTCCTAGTGGCCAACCACAAAATGTGGAACCATGCCCATTCAATGATCTTCACAAGTGTGACTCAGCACACACAAAGCACAGTTACTGCCATCACTCAGGCAGCAAGTGGACCAGGAGCAGCATCAGGAGTCGCCAACCTCTCCTAAACACTAAAGATTGTGGTACAAAAACACCCACCTCACTACAAAGCTGTAACTAAAGCCCACTTTAGTTCGGCTGAACGTCTCCCTGATGAAACCACAAGACCATAACTATCAAATGATCTCAAACCACTCTCAGAATTTCCAACAAAATTCAGTATCAGTGGTTTAACTTTGAGCAAATCTCAACCTAAGACACCTAAAAACAATTAAACTAACTTCACTTACCCAGCCCTCAGTGGTGTACCAGGCTTAAAAACTGAACTTGTGAGCTGTAGTTTATTGTGAAACTCTGAAGTTTACCTCCACCCAAGATAGCCAAATGCAATAAACTAAAACAACAACACAAAAAACACAAACAACTGCTTCAGTGGAGATCAAATGAACCTCAAATAAACTTCTCACCAGGAGAGTCCAAAACAACCCGGACGAGCCCCCAGTTATGTTATAACCTCGATCAAAAGCACCATCAAAAATTTAAGACTGATACCAAAGTTTACAGAGATGTTGGTTTAATTCTGAACTATAACCTCAGTAAAAATGACAACCTAGAGAGTCTGAAGGCAACAAACAGTCAGGACAAGGGGAAAAAAGATCTGGGTTTAAGCATCTTTAACAAATGTAAACAAAACTTATTTGTTCAAATTCAGTTAAATAAATGTGATAAATGTAATGTTATTTAAACCACATTTATTCCTGATTTTTCCTTCTTCTGAAAACGGAATATCTTTTCTGTATTAGGAATCATCCTCTGATTTCATGTAGTCTTTGCTCAAATGAAGCAAAAATATTGAAATACACAAATTCTTTAAAAATAAGTTTATTGCTTATTTTCCTTAATTAAAAAGAATATCTAATTAATTTGCACTGGATTTTAAGAGCCATCTTCTGATTTCATGATTTGAAGAATTTACAGAGAAATAATCTTCATTAATGTCCACTTCACTGTTCTTCAAAGAGGCTGGTGTTCTCTGCTGTTTCTAAATGCATCAGTCAGATGTAAAAAAAGGGGGAAAATAAGAAGCCTGCACTAAGTGCATGTGACTCTTATGAGTTTAAAAGGTCTGAGCGAGGCTCAGTCAGATCATAAAGTGACTGAAAATCACCAAAATTGTTTATAATTTTAACCTGCTGAAGATTTGAGGACAGAAACGTGGTGACTAAAGGCAGCACTTTAAATAAATGCCTGGGCAGTCACAATATGTCTATTTGCTTTCAACACAAAACGAACACGATTTTTATCCTGAAACCAGAAATCAATCACCAGAAAATCTTTAATATCATGAGGTAGATGGTTGCTGCTTTCTTTTCTTTCACTTTAAGAGCAAACGGATGTTTAAAGCTGATTTCTGAGCCTTTGTCCACTTTTATTTTCAACACGTGAGACTCCAGTTAGAATGAAGATGATGGTTTTTTTTTTCTTTTTCGCTTCAGATTGTTGTGGTGATCAAAAAATGATGTCAGGGTGCCATCTAGTGGCCGAACATTAAAACTACAGAAGCTAACTGGCTCTCTCACCTCAAGACAAGATAAGAGAATAGAAAAAGAATAAAGGTAAGAGAATAGGATAAGATAAAATAGAAAAACATACAATACAACAAGAATAAAATACTATATACAATACAATAAAGTACTATACAAAAAAGAACAAATACGGTACAAAACAGAATGAAATGCTTTGTTATAGTAGGAAAAATTTCACTTGGTAATATTGCACATCAGTGAGGCAGTTACAATTGTGTATGGGATGTGTGTGTCTGTCTGCATGTTTGTGGTCATCTGCTGAGACCATATTGTGGAGTCTGACAGCAGTTGGAAGAAAGACCTGCGAAATCTCTTCGTCCCACACCGTGTGTGCCGCAGCCACTGAAGGAGCTGCTCAGTGCTGTCAGTCTCCTGCATGGGGTGGGAGATGTTGTCCAACAGGGATGACAGCTTAGCCACCGTTCTCCTGTCACTCACCACCTCCACTGGGTCCAGAGGGCATCCTAGAACAGAGCTGGCCCTCCAGATCAGCCTGTTCAGTCTCTTCCTGTCCCCGGCAGAGATGCTGCCGCCCCAGCAGACCACACCGTAAAAGATGGCTGAGGCCACCACAGAGTCATAGAAGGTCTTCAGGAGTGGGCCCTCCACTCCAAAAACCTGAGTTTCCACAGCAGGTACAGCCTGCTCTGCCCTTTTCTGTAGAGAACATCTGAATTGTGAGAATTTTTACCAGTGAAACCAATATAACATCTCCACATTCACAAATATACATTTCTGACATTCAAAAACAAAACAAAAACAAATCAGCGACCAATATAGCCACCTTTCTTTGCAAGGACACTCAAAAGCCTGCCATCCATGGATTCTGTCAGTGTTTTGATCTGTTCACCATCAACATTGCGTGCAGCAGCAACCACAGCCTCCCAGACACTGTTCAGAGAGGTGTACTGTTTTCCCTCCTTGTAAATCTCACATTTGATGATGGACCACAGGTTCTCAATGGGGTTCAGATCAGGTGAACAAGGTGGCCATGTCATTAGTTTTTCTTCTTTTATACCCTTTCTTGCCAGCCACGCTGTGGAGTACTTGGACGCGTGTGATGGAGCATTGTCCTGCATGAAAATCATGTTTTTCTTGAAGGATGCAGACTTCTTCCTGTACCACTGCTTGAAGAAGGTGTCTTCCAGAAACTGGCAGTAGGACTGGGAGTTGAGCTTGACTCCATCCTCAACCCGAAAAGGCCCCACAAGCTCATCTTTGATGATACCAGCCCAAACCAGTACTCCACCTCCACCTTGCTGGCGTCTGAGTCGGACTGGAGCTCTCTGCCCTTTACCAATCCAGCCACGGGCCCATCCATCTGGCCCATCAAGACTCACTCTCATTTCATCAGTCCATAAAACCTTAGAAAAACCAGTCTTGAGATATTTCTTGGCCCAGTCTTGACGTTTCAGCTTGTGTGTCTTGTTCAGTGGTGGTCGTCTTTCAGCCTTTCTTACCTTGGCCATGTCTCTGAGTATTGCACACCTTGTGCTTTTGGGCACTCCAGTGATGTTGCAGCTCTGAAATATGGCCAAACTGGTGGCAAGTGGCATCTTGGCAGCTGCACGCTCGACTTTTCTCAGTTCATGGGCAGTTATTTTGCGCCTTGGTTTTTCCACACGCTTCTTGCGACCCTGTTGACTATTTTGAATGAAAGCTTGATTGTTCGATGATCACGCTTCAGAAGCTTTGCAATTTTGAGACTGCTGCATCCCTCTGCAAGATATCTCACTATTTTTGACTTTTCTGAGCCTGTCAAGTCCTTCTTTTGACCCATTTTGCCAAAGGAAAGGACGTTGCCTAATAATTATGCACACCTGATATAGGGTGTTGATGTCATTAGACCACACCCCTTCTCATTACAGAGATGCACATCACCTAATATGCTTAATTGGTAGTAGGCTTTCGAGCCTATACAGCTTGGAGTACGACAACATGCATGAAGAGGATGATGTGGACAAAATACTCATTTGCCTAATAATTCTGCACTCCCTGTATGCGGTGCGCATAGATGCACACCTTTCAGCATTGATGGTGCCTTTCCAGATGTGCAACCTGCCAGTTCCATAAGCACTGATGCACCTTCATAGAGAGATGTAGGCTTTGAACTAAGCGTTAATAACAAGCCTAATGATGCTATCCTCTTCAGTCCAAAGTGTGTCTAAACATTCGATTTGTTTTCTTTGTTCTAATGTGAACAACATATGGGTTTGTGAGCTTTCTAGATCCTTTCATTCTGTTTATACATTCATTTTACACGGTCACAGTTCAGTTTCCCTCAACTCAAGCACTTCAGAACATTATGGAGAATGTAAAAGTCAGTAGTGAGGGCCGTGCAACCTTTCTCCGTCATGTCTTCCTCTTCTTTTACTGCACTCACTGTTACCAACAGTTGGGTGTCACTGCTTCAGCCTTGATCACATTAACCACACACTGCCTAGATTATCTTAAAAACTCAACATCACAGCTTGTCTCTTGTGTTTTCAGGTCCAAATGATCCTTCAGTTTCCAAAATCAAACAAACACTTAGAGGCAAAACCTGTCCGGACTCATTCAGCTCGAATGAAATGATCGATGTGGTCATTCTGCCCGGTGTTACAATAAAGTTTAACATCAAGGTATCCATGAAAAAGATGATTTACGAGGTCTAGCTGATTAAGATGACAACGTTTCTATTTATTCTGACTGAACCATTTCTTTAAAAAACAAACAAAGTTGTACACTTCTGCTTTCATTTTGGACAGAAACAGACTGAAAACTAAGTATCAGTGACTTTTGACAGATGACAATGTGCTAGATGTGGAGCTGTGATTATGCTAATCTCTTTTTTAATAAAGCAAACACTGTAAATTTGATTATTCATTTTATTATCACATTAAGAAGAGTTTATCTACAAGCCGACAGCAACAAACACATTCCAGCTTTAATCGAGCTAAATGTGTAATTAGAGTATATGCAGATGATGCAATGATTTAAAGGGCTGATTCCCTTTGAAACTTTGATTATAAATTATGACTTTATTCATAAAGGAAGTGAAAGCTTATTACAAAAGGAGTGTCTGGAAGTGGTATAATCAGATATGAGGAATGTCTGATACTGTAATACTGAAAACAGACATACAAAAGAGCTAAATAACGAGAAAAATTAGGTTTTAAAACAAGTGGGAGCACAGACACCAGTTTAAGTAACAAAATTCAGATTTGAGAGAAAGAAAAACACTCTGAAGTGTACGAACCTGTTTGTTCTCCACATAAAAAGACCGTGTGCTTCCTGTGAACTCCAGTTTTACAAACAATTGACGGACCTGCTTCTGTTATTGGAAAAAAAAAAAAATACTTGTGGTCTTCTACATGTGCCATATGTTTGTGGACACAGCTGGCAGTGAGGAGAGTTAAAGTAATCTGATTGTTGTGTAGATAAAGCACGATTTCAATCTGCCCCACAGCCCTCAGATGCTGACATGAGCAGCACGTTAATACCAGACATATAGCAGACGTGTCCACATACTTTGGGCCATTCACAGCTGTGCACAAAGAGTGAGTAGTATCATGTGGAGAACAAGCAGACGCCAAAGAAGAAGAGAAACAAGAGTGTTGTGCTCTGTGTTTGGCAAGTGAGGAGTGAACGTATCGAGTGCATTTGCAGCTGCTCATCTGAAGCTGCTTCAGTCTCTCTCAGAGAAGTTTTCCTTTTCTTTGGTTTTTGGCACACGGTCGCGTTGCCGCTGAGCTCAGAGTACGCAGCAGTGCTTCTTCTTCTTCTTGCCACTCGGCCCATTTTTGTCTTTGCTCTCAGACATTTTCTTCTTGCGGACCTCCCTCATGAGGTCAAAGAACACCTGCAGACAGATTACATGGATTAACTGTTGGTCAGAGCCTTGTCTCAAAGGTCAGAGCTCTTTGTTTTGTTTCTTTTGTTCTCTACCTTGTCCACATTGGCTCTCGTCTTGGCTGAGGTCTCCACGTATTGGACGCCCCACTCGCTTGCCTTTGCCGTGGCCTCTTCAGCAGAAACCTGCCGCCGATCCTCCAGATCTGACTTGTTCCCCACCAGAAGGAGAGGGATGGCCTCCTCTTCTTTCACCCGCAGGATCTGCTCCCTGAAAATACAAGAGAGATTTTCAAAGTACAGGTCACTCTACATTAATGGTCCTCAAAGTTTCTTTGAGACAAGACTATTAAACATTGATGCCCTCATTAGTCTGTTAAAGTAAATATTCTCATTTTATCAGTGGTAGAAAATGAAGCTGCAGTTCTTAGAATGTCAACAAGAGGCTGGGTCCAACAGTGAGTCAATCTCCACTACAGTAACGCACTACAAGTAACACGTTACTTAATCGAATTACTTTTTTCAAGTAACGAGTAATGTAAAAGCTTACTATTGCAAAAAGTAATTAGATTACTGTTACTTTCCTGTAAGCATGCTGCGTTACTAAACTGTCGTGATTTTGTTTGTGAGAGTGTCTCATGACAATGACGTAAGCGCGTGCAACACCCATGGCAGTGAAAAATCAAACTTCAAATCTGAGCAAGCATGTAGCAAGCCGCCACGGGAATGTGAAAATCACAAACCCCCAGATCCCCCTGCTGTCATGACCGCTGCGGCACCAGGCAACACTCCACCCTCCCCACTCCTGCTAAACAGGTGACAACAGATTTAAGAGCGACGGGGCTTAGTATCGCTGAATCTTTCATTTTATTTATTTTTTGCTGTGTTTTACATGCATCTATTTGAAAGAGTGTAAAAAAAACCATTTTATTTTATATGCTGGAATATGCAGAAAATGGTTTTAAATGTTAAACAAATGTTTAACATTTAAAAGTCAAACACAGTTGCACATAATTTAATTTTTGCTTGAAGCAATGTGTATAAAGTTAAAAGATTAAAACAAGTTTTAAAGAGAGGCTTTTTCATTTGATTACATTTTATATGATAGATTATGCAGAAAAAGTAGAATTGGGCTGAAAGGTCTGTTGCTTTATTACGTATTCAGGTTGTGTATGAAAAGTAACTAAGTAACTCATTACTTTTGAAAATAAGTAATCAGTAAAGTTACGGGATTACTGTTTTGGAGTCGTAATAAGTAATTAGTAACTAGTTATTTTTTTCAAGTAACTTGACCAACACTGATCTCCACAGATTCCCACGTTAAAATGTCTGAATTTACAACAGAAATAAACATGTTTACAGCACTCTCCAAAAAAAAGCAAGCAAACACTTTTTGTTCTCTAATTTTCCGTCACAACAGCTGTACAGCAGTGATTTCCTCTTTTTTATGACTCACCTGTTTAAACTTGGATCACGACTTAAAGTTTGCCTTTCTAGTTTTTACTGAAAGCTGTCAGCAGTTCTTTACTGTAGCTGCTAGCTCTGTGCTGCGCTTGATCTAAAGTCCAGCCTTTATGGGAAGGAATGGGAGGAATCTGTTGACTTAAAAGCGACCTGTGTGTGGTTCTTTTGAGTTTAACACCTCAGTTTTCGTGTCAACATGTAAATGTGATTTTTTTTTTCCCCAGGGCTGAATTTTTAAAAATGTTTTAAACACAGTCATTTTCACTGCCTGGTTGTATATTACTGTGGAGATTTTACTCCACATAAGTCGATTAAAATGTACCTCTGCTTGTTAAGAAGACTCAGACACTGACCTGAACTCCGACGTTGCTGTGAATGACTCGTGCTCTGTGATGGAGAAGACGAGCAGGAAGCCCTCGCCACTGCGGAAATAGTTATCCCTGATGGCTGCGTAGTCTTCTTGACCCGCCGTGTCCAAAATGTCAATCTGCACGTCCTCGCCGTCCAGCACCACCTTCTTCCTGTAGCTGTCGGCTTTGGTGGGCTCGTAGTCCTCCACGAACTGCGAGCAAAAACAAGGGTCACGTGACTGGGGAGAAGAAACAGCACAGAGGGAAGGGCTGATGGAAAATGTAGTTCTCGAGTCTCACCTCGTCATACATGAACTGCAGGGTTAGGGCTGACTTCCCTACACCGCCGCTGCCCACCATGATCACCTTGTGGAGAACCAGAGAGCTCTGGTTTTTGTTCTTACCAGAGGCCATGACTCTGGTCTAGGTCAGGTGGCTCACAGCTCTGCTCTCGAGTTCTGACGACCTGTAGAGACCAGCAGAGGTCAGCAGGAAAGGACATGAAAAGACTCACACATTCATTTTGGGACTTACAAAAAACCCCACGTTTGGTTTGGCACAGATTTCTATGCTGGATGCCCTTCCTGACACAACCGTCACAGCGCTTTGCGTCTCCTCCTGAACTTGAATTGGGGATCTCTCATGTGTCAGGCAAACTTGTTAACCACGACACTATAAGCCACTATATGATGTGCACCTTCCTAGATATGCAACTACACGCTGACAATGATGATGTTGGTCACTTGCGCAGGCAGCGTCACAGAATCTACATAGGTTCAATGCAGAAGTATAATTAAGGTGTGACACAGTCTTGAGATTCCTTACCAGGTGATTCAACTACCACTCACTCCTTAGCAACTCATATGATGACAACAGGATGGGTCCACAACTCATAGGACAACCTGCAAGATGACTCCACTGTAGGGTGAACACCTGGAACTACCAATCAGCTTTTAGAGCAGATGAAACCTCTCAATGAGATGAAAACCATGTTCAAGAACCTTAAAAACAAAGAAGCCAAGTTCTCTTCAGCACAAATGCCTAAGACTACCAGGAACCTGCTATTTCTAAGACCTGGACACGGTGCTTGAATAATTATTTTGGCAAATATTGGGATCATGATTTATCAGGAAAGCACTGGCAAAAAGTCAAAAGAAAAGTATATTTTTAATAAAGGGGATTTCCTGGAATCTTCAAATAAAATTCAGATAAAAAAATAAAGAAATTAATCACTGTGAAGTTGTGATTTCAACCTATTAAGGATGGGAAATTAATGAAATGTGCGTAAAGTCAAAAATGGCAAAAATGAAGCATTATTGCTTTAATTACAGTCCTGCTCTACATGTGAACGTTTAAGGCTTCTCCACTGTGACCTGCAGACTGTAATAAATGTATAATAACAGTACAAAGTCATGAATGTGTAGATATGTTGTTGAAGATTGAGCTTAGTTTTAGTTTATACTGTTCATCATCTGTTTTATGACATACTCACTTTAACACTTCCTGCTGTCTTTCTTTTTTTTAAAGCAGTGGCATAAACCAGCATATTTTGCTTTGTTATTATCAGAATCATGTGTCTTACAGTTGCTCCAAGGCAGTAACAGTAACAGACTAAACTATTTAAATAATACAATGTTACAGATTTAATAAATAGCACTAATATACACAAATCACTCAATTATAAATATCAAGGATTAACAGTGATGATTATAAATAAATATCAAGGATATTGACAAGAATATTACAGAGTAGAAAAGAGCATGTGCAAAAAGGATGTAACTATTGCAGTGTTTACATGTTTGAACATGGAAAGGTTTTGAGGTTTTCCCTTTAAATGCAGGTTGTTACACAGTGGTTTCACTGGTCTAGCCCACTTTAGGCCAAATTGGGCTGTTTGTGGACCAGGATCTATGGTTAATTTGCCGCCTCTGCTCTAGAGGATTCAGAAAAATTCAAACACACAGCTGAGTTTTTATGCTTTCCTCTGAGATCCAAAGGTAAACTGGTACAGAGTGACGCCGTTTTTCTGTTTCATATCCTCAGAGACGGACAGTCTGTGGTTTAAGTCAGCAGTTTGAAGGCTTTACATGTACATGCATATGCTTATGCTCTGTTGGTTTTATAAAGAGGTTAATGCTTTTATTTTGAAAATTAAAGTCTGGGTGCTTCTGTGTATGCTTAGACACATATGTGATAAATGTACTTCGATCACTATGTGAGCTGAAGCTGCATTTGCACCTAATTTAGTGAAGACTACAGATTTGGTGTGGCGGGGCGGTAATATTTGAATATTTTGTCATTTAGCTTGTTGTGATTATGGAGCTACGTCTCCTAACAAAGGTTCTTCTAAAAATAAGAACCTTACTGTGAGTAACGAGAGTTTTTCAGGTGCCAAACAAATGAGCAGACAGAGGAAACAACAGGATGCTTTCCATTCTTCAGCTGATTGAGATAATCACATATTTATCTTTCTGAGAGATATTGGCCTTGCTGCGTTCCTCTTGTGCTTCAGTTTATGTTCGCGGCCCTGACACAAAGACGATATGGTTTGGTAGCAATGAAGACGTTTCAAGAACTCCTCAATAAGAAAAATCTCCTGGTTTGTTCGTGCTACAGTTTTCACAGACATTTTGAACATCGAGGTCCTCGTCTTCGCTCCCCCTGCGTTTTGATTATGAACTCACCAATCAGACTTTTTCCACTTGCGATTGGATGGAGTTAACTTGGCTGTGGATATCAACTGTAATATTACAAATACATCCAATGATAAAAGTTGCTATTTACTAGTAAAACAATAACTGACAACTGGACCAGGTTACTGACAATGTAAAGATGTATTTGCCTCATTTACTGTCCCCCGGCTGATTCCAGCTCAGTGTGAGAGTCTTCACTGCCGTTATTTACAGTGTTTGTTAAGATCCATTCACACAAAAAGCAACATTGTGCTTCGCTTTGAAGGTGAAGGTCACTGGTAGGGTCAAACAGTTAGGCTGCAATTTTATTTTACAGCGAGATTGCTCAGATCTGTGTGATGTAAACTTTGTCATCAGACAGTTAAGTGTAAGGATCCATGCAGAGGTCCTCGTACATGCCTGTTTTTAGTGACTACGTGGACTCATCTATGAAGACCTTACATTAGAATGCACCAACACATCGGCACTGGGCGATGGACTTCAAGCCATTGGGTCTCCAGGTGTCAGAAATATCAGAGTATAACAGACTAATCTAAATCGATTGAAATGTAAACTGCTGTTAGTCTGCACCTCATACAGCACATGTGAACCCGGCTTTAAATACGTAGTGTCTATTGTTTCACATACTCTCGCTCTTTTTTTGACGCAAAACTCCTGCTCACCAATCAGAAGTGACCCAAGATATCTGCGCATATAGTCAACAACAACATACTCATGGGTTAGTTTTAAGAAATAAAAAATAAAAATCGTTCAGCCCTCATGTCACTAAATGATATTTCAGGCTTCTTACAAGGCAATCAGTGGTCTCCTTCGCCTTTACTGGTAGCGGCTTGAGTGGACGTGGCTTAACATCCAACAAACGTTCTACTAGACCAGGAATCTCAAACTCATTTTTACAGTAGCCCTTAAGTGTGCCAGCTCAGTGAAACTCGCCTTTTTTTGTCAGTTTAAATAAGCTGAAGCACACATTTAATCCCAGAGATATCTTAATGTAAGAAACAAGAAGTGCAATTTCATCAACATGTCTCAGTTTTTCTACATAAAGAAGTGTTGGAATAAATCTGAAATTCTGACATTTAACTGCTTATTTGTAACTTATTTACTCTGGTGGCACATGAATGGCTACAAGGAGGTCTTTATCAGCGGGAAAAGCTGTAAAACCTGTGAAAATACAGGTACAAGTCCAACATTTATGCCCTTCTTCACTTGTTCCAAAAGCTGTTCAGTGGGGCCGATTAGAGCCTTTGCCAGGCCGATTCTAGCCCTCAGTGCCTGATGTTTGACACCCCTATACAAAGCTCTAGTTCTTACAAAGTCTCTGCTGTTAGCGTGCTTCACACTGTGATAGCTTTGTGGTGTTGTAAACACAGAAAAATTGCAGAACTGAACTCAACAGATCGACTGATTGTCACCGATATGCGATCCAAGTTTCTGATTCAGGATTGGACAAATAAGTGATCAACATTTGTAATCACTGACAACGTTACATCAGCTCTAACATTAGACAGAAAGTAGAGCCCCCTTAAGCACACTGAGGGCTAAAAATCCAGCCCTGAAAGTGTCTGCACTGCTGGAAAGTACTAGGAGGAGAGCAAGGCCAGTTCCTTAGAAGCTCATGGGGAAAGTTCCTGCCGTGGAAAAGGGTCGTTAGCTTCAGGTGTGAGTGATATAGGTCTGTACACCCTGCATGAGTGATAAGTATGGGAGGTATGTGGAAAAACCCTCTCGTCAGTGACCTTTCCAGTTGCTCGACATGCGGGCAGAGATAAGCTGGAGCTGTAAATAAGCTCCGAAATTAGCCATATATTAATAACACGGCTGTCTGAGCTCAAAGAGGAACTATATGTGCTCCTATCAACACTCAACTTCAGCTTCCTCTGTGCCCTAAACAGCTGGAAACGAGTCTCAACAAGACACTAAACAGACACTTCTGCTCTTCCCGGTTTCTGCCCCTGTCCCTCAAACGTCATCTCTGATTGGCCTCGGGCGCGGACAGGCCTGTTGTCATTGGTCGGTCGCGCTGCCACTCACAGCTGCCCGTAAAGCAGCGACAGATAACGATTTCTGTTCCTCCACAGGGGGAAACTGAGCGAGAATCCGCCGTTAAAACGCTGCCCTCAGGGCAGAGGCGGACCGTGCCGGGGTGAACAGCACGGTCGGACTCCACTCACTCACCTGCTGAGGTGTTTTCCTGCCGTTCACTCAGAAATCCGCTTCACGCACAACTTTTACAAGTTCTCCAGCAGACTGTGCGCCCCACCTTGTACACGGACTCGGCGAAGATCGTCTGTGTTCGCGAGGACGACCCACTCTTTCAGCTAATCGCAGGCGGCCGCTCAGCGCACGCGCAAATGTTACCAGGGCGACTGATGTACCACTTTACCCGCTAAACAAACACCAACACATGTTATTAAGCATCTTTGAAGGTTATACAATTTAAATAAAGTCCACAAAATGTCTGCCCCTGTTATTTCTAGCAGAGAAACCCGGAAACAGACACAGAGTGACACCTCCTACCTTTACCTTTACCGTCTTGTCCTCTACAGGATGTGACGTCGCGGAATTCCCTGTCTTTATTGTTACTGAAAGAAAACAAATATTCATTCAGTAATATTTTTATAGGCCACTTTGACACTTCACTTTATTTACTACTATATATATATATAGGATATATATAGGTGTTTTACTCTGATTTATTTTTACATACAAATTTTGAAGCGCTAAATATGGGAATTAAATTAAAGCTCTTCCTTAAATCTGCTTTAGATCCTTTTATTATTTAGTTTTTGTGTTTGTTATTACTTAAATGTCATATATCATATTTAACCTTTTTCAGTCTTTTTTTGTGATTTACGTCTTTGCCTTTGAGCTACTTTACATTTTTATCTTTATTTTTTAAAAAATTTCATTAATTTTGTTCTACATACAGTTGACTAAAATTTGTGACCTTTGAACTTGAATAGATGGGAAACAGAAATTTAAAAAGGCAAATAAATATGATGACTGTTTTGTTCCCTTCTTAGATCACTGCAGTGAAGTAACTGTGATCCATACAGGAGGGGAACAAATGATGAAATTAGAATAATTTTAAAAATAGAAAAATAAATAAATAAATAAATAAATAAATAAATAAATAAATAAAAATAATCTAGTAATCATGAAGCTGGATAACCTCACACTTTTTTCTTTTGGGACCATAATGTCCATACCTCATGAAAAGAAGCTGTTTTCTTTCAGTTCCCTTCACCTCTGATGACTTTATATTTTATATTTTTCAAAAAAAAAAAGAAAAAAAAGAATGAATCGGTTCTTAAATATCAGTCTCCCAACACCCCCAGGCAAACTGATGTGAAGGTCTTTACAGCAGTGTTGAGTTTGTTTCTAAACCAAAAAAAGAAGAACAATGAGCAGCCCAGACAGGACTAACAATTCTGACTATTCTGTAAACTAAGAGGACTGTGGCCTGCTTTGCTTCAGGATTTTAGTTTATGCTTATGATACCATCAGACGTATTCTGCAGAGGAAAAACAGCAAAACAGGAACACAGATTTAAAATCAGTGATCCCGATTTAAAGTAAAAAAAGTTCAGTTTCTGAATTTCTCCTAGTGTGTGCCATGACCCTCTGCTGGACTGTGAAGGTACTGCAATGATCAATTATTGTAAGTAGAACGCTACTTTCAGCTGCTCCCTGATTCACAAGGGCCGAAATAGGTTTTATGTCGGATGGTCTTCCTGTTTCAGCCCCTTCCAGCGGATTTATGTCTCCTCCCGGCACTGAATCACTACACTATGAGGCCAAAAAATGTAAATCTTAATTCTAACAATATGTTACAAAATAAAACCAACAGGAATATAACGTTTTAAAAGTCACCTCTTTAAAACTTTTATATGATTTAATGCTGCAGCATGAACTTATAGGATCAGATGCAGTTTTATAGGCTGAGCCAAATGATCACCCATCAATCTTCAGGACCAAAGCAGAATCCGGTTGGTTTAATTCTTATGAGACTCTGTAGGACAAAGTACTTTGGAAGGATTATTGAAACACATTTTTTCTCTAAAAAATTTCTTTGTTTCTTGGATTAGCTTGGAGACCTGTCCAGGGTGCTCCATCTTCAGACAGTAACAGCTGAGTTAGACTCCGTTTGGAAAGTAAAGCTGCAGACAAACAATTAGAAAAGCAAAATGAAAACAAAGGAAACAGCTAGATTTTCTCCTGTGTGATGATCTGAGGTTTGGCAAATGTTTGATTTTCACATGTCAAACTGGGCTTCAGTCTAAAGTCTGGTAAGTTTGGCGACTTTAGAAGAACCAAAAGCACAATGAGGAGATCTTTGACTTTCAGTGGAGCAAATTTTCAATCAGTCTGTGAACAAAGAGAATAATTTCCTTCACAGCCTCATCAATTTTATGTTAACTGTTTAACTTTTGTCCCCTTTTCACTTGGATAGAGCCCACTTTTTAGGTTTCTGCTGCAAAATTTCAAAATCATACATTTATTTACCTGGAAAGCATGAACATTTTCTTGGGGTGCAAAACTATAGAATTATTGAAAGATTTTATACATGATGTAGTTTCAGTGTTTGGAACAAAGATGGCGCCATTTCATTACTTTCCTCACGCATGACAAGGAGGAGCGGAGATCAATGACTAAAGTGCCAACCTTTATTGAACTGGTGCTATATGGAGCTCCAAAGTTAACTAAAACCTGTTTTTAACCTTTTATTTTATCATATTTATGATATATAAAATAGAATACATTTAAGAGTTCGTATTAATTAGAAATTATGATTCATGTGGTCATTAACTGTGAGGATAAAAAGGGAAAAGCAGATTGTGTCTGCTCTTCAGGTTGTTTTGCCTTGTGATAATCACCAGCTGAAAGGTCAAAGGTCACTGAGCCCAGCCTCTCTGCCTATCTCGCTAGTGCTGGCTGTAAAGGGGTGTGACGAGCTCATTTGGTTCTCAGTTTTACTAACAAATGTTGTTGTCCGGACTTCCTGCCGTGTCATTAGGACGAGCTGTTGCGGATCATGTTCCATTTGACTACAAAGAGCGAGGCTCTCCGATTATTTGAATGTTCTTTTAGGGCTTATCGAAATGAGCTTGGCTGAAAATGTAACGCTGTGGTTTGAGCTCCCATGGTGCTTCAGGGCGTTTACGTCAAAGTTTATCCACTTGCAATAACCCCAGGTGTTTATTTTAATACATGTGGCAACATTTGTTTGAATTTCCAAAAGTATGTGGTCACATCTTAGTTTGAAACAATAACACATGAAGAATAAAACCAGCCTTTTTCTATACAGCTGAGAGGAAATATCAGGGTAAGTCAACATTTTTCCATCTATGTTGTTTTTTGCCTGCTGGTCACTGACTCAACTTGAAAATCAACTGTTTTAAAGAAGCTAAAGGACACAAAACAACAAAGTGTCTACAAAATCACTTTTATGGACCATTAACGTTTAATAAGTTTCTACAGGACGAAGGCTGTAAAGAAAAGCTTTGATGTACATTAAAAGGTAATCCAGGCTTTATATTATAGCTACAACATATGGTACAACTGAAATGGTGGTATTTCCATACTTTGGGTCACATTTTTCTATCCAGTTGTAAGGTAATGTTATATAAACTGATTACCATATATCTGTGTTATGTTGTCTTTCTGAAGGCTGAGCATTGATTCAAGTTCAGCTTATAACAAACTTCCTTTGGAAAAAGCCAGATTTAAGGATCTTAAAGGATATAAAACAAAAGCAAAGACTATAAATTTCCTTTTATGCACCAGAAAAACTTTAAAAGTTAGTATGAGAGTATTAAACACAGGCTTCTGCCACTCTTATTAAGATTACAGTTTAATCCAGACTTTATGTTTTGCTGGGTCTTGATGTTTTATGTGATTTTTCCTTGTTTTTCCTCTTCCTTGTACTCATCAGACTGCAAACACCCTCCCCAAAGTTAAAGTGTTTTCCCTGTTTTATTTATTTTAAAGTGTGCTCCTGGATGATTAAACCAAACTGTAGTCGTGTTTTAGCGGAATCTTCTGTGATGTGACGTCTTAAAAGTCCACGTGAGCTGAAGCACTGCAGGACTACAGGATACATAGACAAATAAACAAAAGCGTTACAAGTGGTATTAGAAGAGAGAAAAGGGTAACACCGAAGTCCACTGAATGTTCTTACTGTCCACACAACAAGTATTTTACATGTAAACACTTTCATTTTGAGTATTTCCATTTTTTTTTACATTACAGAATAAATATTGCAGCTTTTACTCAATCAGTTGTACTGTACATCGAAACTCTACACGAGCATGCAAAAAAAGTTGTGTTTTATCTCTAAATTTAGCAGTGGAATGTTTTCAGAACTGAAATAATATGACTACATGCAATAAATAACATTTGATTACAATGGCGATCGTGGCTCAAGAGTTGGGAGTTTGCCTTGTAACTGGCTTGGACAGTCTCAGTTGTTGTGTCCTTGGGCAACACACTTCACCTGTTGCCTACTGGTGGTGGTCAGAGGGCCCGGTGGCGCCAGCGTCGCCTCTGTCAGTGCGCCCCAGGGTTGCTGTGGCTACAATGTTGCTTGCCATCACCAGTGTGTGCACCAGTGTGTGAATGGGTGGATGACTGAATGTGTAAAGCGCTTTGGGGTCCATAGGGAAAGTGCTATACAAATACAGGCCATTTACCATTTAAAGTACTCGAGAGGTGGTAATCAATAACGAGAAAATTCTCCAAGTAAATAGATCCTTTTTAAGAAATCCAGCTAAATAATCAACTTGAACATTTATGTTTAAAGTAGTAAATAAATTAGATGAACTCAAGCAGATCAAATACAATTTGTGATGATCATTGAAAATAAATCACTCAAAAAGACAGAAAGTGACACATGGCGACTGAAACGAAGTACAAAGAAAATAAAAGTTTTGACTATTTAATCCAAATAACTACTTATTTACTAATATGGTCCCTTCTTTAATTAAATTAGGGCATTTAACTTAATTCATTTTGATTTCCAGTTCCTGAAGTTCACTTTCTTATTAAGTTATATGTACTTTTTATCTGCATACACAGTTTTAAATACTTGAGAAATGGCAAAGACCACCAATGTGCAACTTTATAATCTTAATTTATTTCAGGTATATTGTGTTTGGACTTTTAGAAGTGTGGCTGTGTAAAGATTTAGATATAATAAGGACACCAATCCTCCTGCAGTCCCATTCAGTGTAATAAAAACATGTTCCTGCAAATGTGCGGTGTATGGGTCACTGAAGCAGCCCTCACTGTGCTGTATGGGCCACGTGAAGGTGACAAAATACAGATTTTTTAAACA